TCTTCTCGTTCCTATGTGCCTCCATCTTCTCGTTCCTATATGTCCACATCTTCTCGTTCCTATATGTCCACATCTTCTCGTTCCTATATGTCCACATCTTCTCGTTCCTATATGTCCACATCTTCTCATTCCTACGTGTCTCCATCTTCTAGTTCTTATGTGTCTCCATCTTCTTGTTCCTTTTTGTCTCCATCTTCTCGTTCCTATGTGTCTCCATCTTCTCGTTCCTATGTGCCTCCATCTTTTCGTTCCTACGTGTCTCCATCTTCTCATTCCTATATGTCCCCATCTTCTCGTTCCTATGTGCCTCCATCTTGTCATTTCTTTGTCTCCATCTTCTAGTTCTTATGTGTCTCCATCTTCTTGTTCCTTTTTGTCTCCATCTTCTCGTTCCTATGTGTCTCCATCTTTTGGTTCCTGTGTGTCTTCATCTTCTATTTTCTATGTGTCTCCATCTTCTCATTCCTATATGTCCCCTTTCTTCTCGTTCCTACGTGACGAAGAAACACTAATATAAAAATTGATGAAAACCAGTTAAAGCAGGCGATGGATTTTATCTGGTAAGTATTTTGCGGAAAACTGAAGAATCCAAATGTAAAAGGTAGAGTCAGGAGATGTGAACCAGCATCATTGCACACGTTCCTATGTGTCACCATCTTCTCGTTCCTTTTTGTCTCCATCTTCTCATTCCTATGTGTCTCAATTTTTTCGTTCCTATGTGTCACCATCTTCTCGTTCCTTTTTGTCTCCATCTTCTCATTCCTATGTGTCTCCATCTTCTCGTTCCTATGTGTCTCCATCTTCTCGTTCCTATATGTCCGCATCTTCTCTTCCTTTTTGTCTCCATCCTCTCGTTCCTATATGTCCCCATCCTCTCTTCCTTTTTGTCTCCATCTTCTGGTTCCTATATGTCCCCATCTTCTCGTTCCTATGTGCCTCCATCTTTTCATTCTGTTGTCTCCATCTTCTCGTTCCTATGTGTCTCCATCTTCTCGTTCCTTTTTGTCTCCATCTTCTCGTTCCTATGTGTCTCCATCTTCTGATTCCTGTGTGTCTCCATCTTCTATTTTCTATGTGTCTCCATCTTCTCATTCCTATATGTCCCCTTTCTTCTCGTTCCTACGTGACGAAGAAACACTAATATCAAAATTTATGAAAACCAATTAAAGCAGGCGATGAATTTTATCTGGTAAGTATTTTGCGGAAAACTGTAGAATACAAATGTAAAAGGTAGAGTCAGGAGATGTGAACCAGCGTCATTGCACACGTTCCTATGTGTCACCATCTTCTCATTCCTATGTGTCTCCATCTTCTCGTTCTTTTTTGTCTCCATCTTCTCATTCCTATGTGTCATAATTTTCTCGTTCCTATGTGTCACCATCTTCTCGTTCCTTTTTGTCTCCATCTTCTCGTTCCTATGTGTCTCCGTCTTCTCGTTCCTATGTGTCTCCATCTTCTCGTTCCTATGTGTCTCCATCTTCTCGTTCCTATGTGTCTCCATCTGCACATTCCTGTGTCTCCATTTTCTAGTTCCTACGTGTCTCCATCTTCTCGTTTCTATGTGTCTCAATCTTCTCGTTCCTATGTGTCTCAATCTTCTCGTTCCTATGTGTCTCCATCTTCTCGTTTCTATGTGTCTCAATCTTCTCGTTCCTATGTGTCTCCATCTTCTCGTTTCTATGTGTCTCAATCTTCTCGTTCCTAAGTGTCTCCATCTTCTCGTTCCTATGTGTCTCCCACTTCTCGTTCCTTTGTGTCTCCATCTTCTTATTTTAATGGCTTTCGGTACTCTCTACATACGTCTGTCTGAATATAAATATTATTCTAAAATACAAGCCTGGTGAGTGTTCTTGTATCTTGTGTTTTACGCTGGGGAAAAAAAAATAAATTTCCTTTCATATCTGTTCAATCAACCGAAATCATCAAAAACTAAAAAATTCTGTTTATCTCTGTATTTTATTAGTTTTCTAAAATCATTATGTCAGCAATTAGAGTTTGCCTTCACATACTTCAATTAATTTTCAACACATTAAAAATACATTATTATACTTAAAACATCTTCTGTCTTCACAGAAAAAAAACCTTATTTTTTACTAAAATTAATTTAACAGCCTGCATTTTTCATCCATAAAGTCCTTCACAATTGTATTATTCCTTCCTGCAACCACACGCTGAAACCGCCGTGTGGTTGTTTATACAGTGCTTGTCTGCCATCCCAACCGCTGGCCAGTGTGTCTGCTCCTGTCTGATGCTTGAAACTGGCACAAAATAATAACGCCCGAGAATGAAATCAAATATTTGAACTTGCTCAGCTTGTTGATCTTGAGATTAGTCGAGCATCTTCAGATCGGAATTCTCCCAGGGGACTCATAGATGTATTGCCATTTCACTGAAAAGATGCCGTTGGGCGCGTGTAGTCCATAGTAAACATACACACGTTCATACTCACTCACAATCACACATGTATATAGGCGTCTGTGGCTTAGGGGTTACTGACGCTGTTCATAACTCAGAAATACCCGCTATGATTTAGTTGCGTGCCATTTGGCAGTTGATCGCTTTGTGCTGATTTTGATAATATCGTGGAACATGCATGGTATTTGATTGCTTGTAGAGAATTAGGAGATTTCACGAACCGACTAGAACACTGGTTCTCAACCTTACAAACACCGTGACCCTTTAATACAGTTCCTTTTGCTATGGCAACCCCCAAAAATACAATTTATTTTCGTTAGTGCTTCCTAACTTCAATGAAAATGTGATTTCTGTTGGTCTTAGACGACCCCCATGAAAGGGTCGTTCGACCCACACAAAAATGTCGCCAGCTAGAGGTTGAAAATCTTTGGACTAGAATAAAATGGACAGTGTCATCGAATCGAAAGAAAACTTAGGGAAGAACACATAGGATTTCGGAAGAACAGAGCTTGTACTGATGCAATATTCACACTTTGACAATTTGTGGAAAGGACGGTAAATGTCGTTAAAAAACTACACGGCGCATTCGTAGACCTAGAGAAATCTTTTGATCGAGTTATGAGGAATATATTATGGAAGGTACTTCAGGATTACAGAGTAACCGAACACCTTATCAAAGTGTGCAGCTCGTTATATGTGAGCAGTAAATGCGCAGTTGAATCAAATACATGAATGTCAGAAAAGTACATCAGTACAACCAGAAGAACATATTAATAGACTCAGTCAAAATGCAACAGCTATGATCAACATAGGAAAAACCGAAATGATCAAATTCTCCTGATGACGAAGAACCACCAATATCAAAATTGATGAAAACCAATTAAAGAAGGCGATGGGTTTTATCTTGTAAGTATTTTTGCGGAAAACGGAAGAATACAAATGTAAAAGGTAAAGTCGGGAGATGTGAACCAGCGTCATTGCACACGGTAATAAACCATAAGTGCTCTACCATCAGTATGGACAGCTGATAAGAAACGGTCCGCCTGTGTCGCCGTCCGCACGAAACTCCGTAGCTACAGCGACGTTACTCTATTTACCCCAGAGTGTTAACTCTGGTACCCATTTCCTAGAGGCTAGGTGAACCCCGGGAACCGCCCGGTTTCGAACACCGGCCGTGGACTGCAGCGAGTCTCAGCTATATTTGAAAGCCTGTCTCCTATCGACTGCGTTAACGCGACCCCTCAAACGGAAGAATAAATAAATCCAGCAAAGATTTAAGAAAGCCAATGAAATTGTAGGTCAAATGGCACCAATTTTAAATGCAAGCATGTGAATATGAACACTAAAAGAACACCGTTTAACACAATGTTCTTACCAAAACTAGGCTATCAAGGTCAGACATGGACAGTATCTTCAGGAGAAGGAAAATAGTTACCACAGAAATGAAATGTTAACGTTCTATGCTGGGTGTAACCAGGAAAGATTGATTTAAGACCGATGCTATCAGAGGGAGAGTTGGCACAGCACTAATACCACACTTTATAGGTGGACAAACAAATCAAATGGTTTTGCCATGTAACAAGGTTGGCATCAGACAGGGCAACACAGTGAAAGCAATGTTATACAGATATAGTGGTAACAAACACATACTTGGACCACGCAGAATATGGACCGCAGAAAAGTCAGAAACAACGAAAAGTTCTTTATACAAACATATGCATGTGTGTACGTTAAAATTGGTACTGCATTCCCAAGAACTGTGAGTAGTAGACGGCGTGCTAGCCGTCAAAGAGTTATCCCGGTTGAAGCTGCAGCCGTGATATGATTTTTAATTTTCATCAATATTGTTTTTGGGTCAGCCAGGTCTGATTTCAGATATGTTTCACACAGAGGATATGTTTCACACAGAGGATATGTTTCACACAGAGGATATGTTTCACACAGAGGATATGTTTCACACAGAGGATATGTTTCACACAGAGGATATGTTTCACACAGAGGATATGTTTCACACAGAGGATATGTTTCACACAGAGGATATGTTTCACACAGAGGATATGTTTCACACAGAGGATATGTTTCACACAGAGGATATGTTTTCACACAGAGGATATGTTTCACACAGAGGATATGTTTCACACAGAGGATATGTTTCACACAGAGGATATGTTTCACACAGAGGATATGTTTCACACAGAGGATATGTTTCACACAGAGGATATGTTTCACACAGAGGATATGTTTCACACAGAGGATATGTTTCTCACAGAGGATATGTTTCACACAGAGGATATGTTTCACACAGAGGATATGTTTCTCACAGAGGATATGTTTCACACAGAGGATATGTTTCACACAGAGGATATGTTTCACACAGAGGATATGTTTCACACAGAGGATATGTTTCACACAGAGGATATGTTTCACACAGAGGATATGTTTCTCACAGAGGATATGTTTCACACAGAGGATATGTTTCACACAGAGGATATGTTTCACACAGAGGATATGTTTCACACAGAGGATATGTTTCACACAGAGGATATGTTTCTCACAGAGGATATGTTTCACACAGAGGATATGTTTCACACAGAGGATATGTTTCTCACAGAGGATATGTTTTTCACACAGAGGATATGTTTCACACAGAGGATATGTTTCACACAGAGGATATGTTTCACACAGAGGATATGTTTCACACAGAGGATATGTTTCACACAGAGGATATGTTTCACACAGAGGATATGTTTCACACAGAGGATATGTTTCACACAGAGGATATGTTTCACACAGAGGATATGTTTCACACAGAGGATATGTTTCACACAGAGGATATGTTTCACACAGAGGATATGTTTCACACAGAGGATATGTTTCACACAGAGGATATGTTTCACACAGAGGATATGTTTCACACAGAGGATATGTTTCACACAGAGGATATGTTTCACACAGAGGATATGTTTCACACAGAGGATATGTTTCACACAGAGGATATGTTTCACACAGAGGATATGTTTCTCACAGAGGATATGTTTCTCACAGAGGATATGTTTCATACAGAGGATATGTTTCACACAGAGGTTATGATTCACTCAAAGGATATGTTTCTCCCAGAGGATATGTTTCACACAGAGGATATGTTTCACACAGAGGATATGTTTCACACAGAGGATATGTTTCACACAGAGGATATGTTTCACACAGAGGATATGTTTCTCACAGAGGATATGTTTCATACAGAGGATATGTTTCACACAGAGGTTATGATTCACTCAAAGGATATGTTTCTCCCAGAGGATATGTTTCACACAGAGGATATGTTTCACACAGAGGATATGTTTCACACAGAGGATATGTTTAACACAGAGGATATGTTTCACACAGAGGATATGTTTCACACAGAGGATATGATTTTCACAGAGGATATGTTTCACACAAAGGATATGTTTCTCACAGAGGATATGTTTAACACAGAGGATACGTTTCACACAGAGGATATGTTTCCCACAGAGGATATGTTTCACACAGAGGATATGTTTCACACAGAGGATATGTTTCACACAGAGGATATGATTTTCACAGCTGATATGTTTCTCACAGAGGATATGTTTCATACAGAGGATATGATTCTCACAGAGGATATGCTTCTCACAGAGGATATGTTTCATACAGAGGATATGTTTCTCACAGAGGATATGTTTCTCACAGAGGATATATTTCTCACCGAGGATATGATTCTCACAGAGGATGTGTTTCTCACAGAGGATATGTTTCATACAGAAGATATGTTTCTCACAGAGGATATGTTTCTCACAGAGGATATATTTCTCACCGAGGAGATGTTTCATACAGAGGATATGTTTCTCACAGAGGATATGTTTCACACAGAGGATATGATTCTCACAGAGGATATGTTTCATACAGAGGATATGTTTCTCACAGAGGATATGTTTCTCACAGACGATATGTTTCACACAGAGGATAAGTTTCTCACAGAGGATTTGTTTCACACAGAGGATATATTTCTCACCGAGGATATGTTTCATACAGAGGATATGTTTCTCACAGAGGATATGTTTTACACAGAGGATATGATTCTCACAGAGGATATGTTTCATACAGAGGATATGTTTCTCACAGAGGATATGTTTCTGACAGAGGATATGTTTTACACAGAGGATATGTTTCTCACAGAGGATTTGTTTCAGACAGAGGATATGTTTCTCACAGAGGATATGTTTCACACAGAGGATATGTTTCTCACAGAGGATATGTTTCACACAGAGGATATATTTCTCACCGAGGATATGTTTCATACAGAAGATATGTTTCTCACATAGGATATGTTTTATACACAGGATTAGTTACACACAGAGGATATGTTTCACACATTTACTTCTTTCTTGTCCACACGTCCCTGTGTGTCGCGGTAAGTGGATAGATGCTTTTGTGATGTGTAAGAGCTTACCTCTGAACACTTCACCTCCAACAGAGAAACTAGACTATTTTCCGATCTATGTTGATCTCAGACAAAGTCCTGGATATCCAAGAAAACAGCCATATTTGGCTCGTCACGTAAATACTCAACAGCTGCACTTAGTACCCACAGGAGTAGGAGAAGGGGTAGATAGATATCAAGATGAACCCAATGAGATATCAAGATACACAGTTAACCCCTCCGACTTTGTCCTTTCCTGGTATAGAATTATAAACAAGCTCCCACCAAACGTAACTTTATTTATCAGTTTAGTTAAACAGGTAAGACTGAATACACTTGGAATTTAACAAACGATGTAGTATAAAACTTGACATAAATGTTTATTCACTAACAATCAATTAAATGCAATTGCCAGTTTGTTGTGTTTACACAAACAGTGACTGGCTAATGTTATGATAGTGATGAGATGCTTCAGCGAGAAAACAGCACCTGGGATTAGAGTGGTGTGATGAGGGTGATAAAGTACGAACAATGTGTGAACATAACTTTGTTTTCACAGAACCCCAGACAGCCGTGAGGCACTGTCAAGCTCTTTCACCTCTTCCAGCTTCTTTCCCGCCTGTTCCCCGCCTGTTTCAGCTTATTTTCCACCTGTTTCCAGCTTGCCGATCTCCAATAACTTTGGTTCTTTCATGCGACATCTAGTTCTATTAGAACAGATGTCTTCACCCCGACGGGAGCTGTTAAACAAACACATAAGTGTAGTATTTACTTACACTAAAAATGCATATAATAATACAATATATATATATATATATGTATAGACATACCATCTCTTCTCCTCAATCCTCCACATTCTCTCCAGTCTAGTCTGAAGGTCTTATGTCTTACATTGACGTCACATATCCTGCCTTCCCTCTCATGTACTGTCATGATAGTTGACTTCCTAAGTCTGCTGTCCGTCTTCAATCAGACTTCCAATCTGGCTGACATTGTTTTACATGAACATGTGAAGCAGGTTTTGTGCTGAAAACTCAAATCACTTTATAGGTGCATGTTGTCTCGAATAGTGTCTTTCCAGTGAGCACATGGTGAGCTATTAAAATGCAACCACATGGCTGCATCTGTGGGCATTCTTCCCCACAGTCCAGACTCATGTTTTGGTTGATGGTTAAAACCTTATAATTTCATTACATTTCAGTATACAAGTCTTATTTTTTAAACATGAAAACCTACACTGAAAACATGTGGCACAAACATACATGAAATAGAAATGATTCAGCAGTTCTCTAACTGAGATACTGAATACTCACAAAGAACTATTTTACGCAGAATGTGTAGACAAATTAGAAAAAGGTAGAATAGGCTTTAGCTAACTCTATAACCTATGTATAAAAGATTAAAAATAATATACAGTCATACCTGGAAACGTTCCAACAATTGCCAAACAAGACTCAACCAGTGAGAAATACTTTCTCTGTAGGTCTGAGTTTGTGGCTAGCTGGCGGCACTATGAGGTAGTTCTGAAATGCTTGCAGTCTACTAGCAAAGTTAACTCCTCCCTTTCCTAGTACCTAACCTGTCCCACAAGAGAAGGTCTTAGCCACGCCCTAGAAGTACCTTGCAGATCGAAATAGCTATCAATGGGCCTGTCACTCAAAGTGAACGGCCTTTCCAAGATCACACATTCTTAATTGGTAAACATCTGTTCTCCAGCCAATTTAACTAGCAGGTGTGACAATCCAGCCAGCAAACGCCGTGATGTCTGGAGTTACCTACCAGATCACTTAATTCCCCTGATCTGCTCTGTTCGAAAGGCCCAACTCAGTCTCTGTTATGTAACTTTTAAGACACTAAGGTTCGGCTCATGGGAGATAATCTCAGGTGTGACATTTAGTTCCCCATTTAGTTTGCTCGCCCCTACAGACTGTCTCTGGTCAGGAGATAATTATATGACACTGGCTTGTAAAACAAATAGCTAGCTAAGGTAATGTTAGGTAATTTACACAAAGCTGGGTTGCTTTGTCTGGCCCAAGGACTGAAAACAATTAAATCCGTGTGGTTTTAGTACTTGATTCAGGCTTAGTGCATATTGACTATAATTTTTTGTCTCTCAATAAACAGAAGAAATTATTCCACGTACTAACTTATGAAACCACTGAGCACAGAGGTCGTTTCGTCACACTGTGTATGCGTGTGTATGTGGGGGGGGGGGGGATGTTGTTTAAAAAAAATAATATAAAATAGCAACTCATTTCTTTTACCTTTCAACTGCGCCTGAGCAGCAATCATATGCATGTGTGTACTTTAACATGAGTACTGCATTCACAAGCACTGTGGCATAGTAGATAGCGTGTTAGCCGTCAAAGCCGTGATATTATGTTCCATCAGTATTGTTCTGGGGTCAATCCGGTCTTTTTAAAAGTCCCCAAGTACAAAGAGCTTTGGAGCTGGAAATGATTCACACAGAAGATGTGTTTCACACACAGGATTTGTTTCACACAGAGGATTTGTTTCACACAGAGGATTTGTTTCACACAGAGGATATGTTTCACACAGAAGATATGTTTCACACAAAGGATATGTTTCACACAGAGGATATGTTTCACAGAAAAGATATGTTTCACACAGAGGATTTGTTTCTCACAGAGGATGTGTTTCATACAGATGATTTGTTTCATACAGATGATAAACTTCACACAGAGGACATGTTTCACACAGAGGATATGTTTCTCACAGAGGATATATTTCTCACAGAGAATACGTTTCTCACAGAGGATATGTTTAACACAGAGGATATGTTTCACACAGAGGATTTGCTTCTCACAGAGGATATGTTTCACACAGAGGATATGTTTCACACAGAGGATTTGTTTCATATAGATGATAAACTTCACACAGAGGACATGTTTGACACAGGAGATATGTTTCACTCTAAGGATATGTTTCACACAGAGGATATATTTCACACAGAGGATATATTTCACAAGGAGGACATATCTCAGGCAGAGTATATATTTCACAAGAAGGATATATTTCAGGCAGAGGATATGTTTCACACAGAGAATATGTTTCACATAGAGAATATATTTCTCACAGAGAATACGTTTCTCACAGAGGATATGTTTAACACAGAGGATATGTTTCACACAGAGGATTTGCTTCTCACAGAGGATATGTTTCACACAGAGGATATGTTTCACACAGAGGATTTGTTTCATACAGATGATAAACTTCACACAGAGGACATGTTTCACACAGAGGATATGTTTCTCACAGAGGATATATTTCTCACAGAGAATACGTTTCTCACAGAGGATATGTTTAACACAGAGGATATGTTTCACACAGAGGATTTGCTTCTCACAGAGGATATGTTTCACACAGAGGATATGTTTCACACAGAGGATTTGTTTCATATAGATGATAAACTTCACACAGAGGACATGTTTGACACAGGAGATATGTTTCACTCTAAGGATATGTTTCACACAGAGGATATATTTCACACAGAGGATATATTTCACAAGGAGGACATATTTCAGGCAGAGTATATATTTCACAAGAAGGATATATTTCAGGCAGAGGATATGTTTCACACAGAGAATATGTTTCACA